TTCCACGTGTCGGGTAACAGCTGAGCACAGGCAAGGGGTTTCGGGGCCCCGGCAGCAGACACAGAGGCTGGGCTGCCTAGCAGAGTCTCAGGTTGGCTGGATTCCCACTGGCTTCCCACTTCTGCTCAGCGGCAGGCTGGTGTGAACCCTAGGCAAGACCCCAGCCCTCCTGGCTGTGTGATGGGGGCTGACACATCTGTCCAGAGGCTTCTCGGAGCACTTGAGGCATCTCAGGAGACGAGCTGGGGAACAGCCCTTTGCAATGATGAGGGTCTGGGCACACTGTTGATTGATTGCCAGGGAATGGAGCCTGGCTGCGCGAGGGACAGCCTGTGGGGAGCTTCAGCGTGAGGAGGAGGGGCAGAATCCTCAGCCCCTCTGGCCTCTAGTCCTGGGAGGGCCCCTCCTGGCTTTGAGGGGGCCCCTCCTGGCTTTGTGGGCTCAACCCTCCTGCGGTACCGATTGTAGCCAGCAGGGGCCGCCTCAGAGGACACCCTCATCTCAGGCCTGTCCCTGCTGTTCGCAGCCAAGTCCAGTCCGGCTGTGACCCCGTGGACTGCAGCCCTTCACACTCTTCTGTCCCTCACTATCTCCTGGGCTTTGCTCAGATTCATGTTTATTGAGTTGATGATACTATATGATCATCTCATCTGCCTCCCCTTTCTCCTTTTGCCTTCAGTCTTTCCCGGCATCAGTGTCTTTTCCGAGTCAGCTCTTTGCATCAGGTGGCCAGAGTATTGGAGTTTCAGCTTCAGCATCAGTCCTTCCAGTGAATATTCAGGGTTGATCTCCTTTAGGATTGACTGGTTTGATCTCCTTGCAGTCCAAGAGACTCTCAAGAATCTTCTCCAGCACCACAATTTGAAGGCATCAATTCTTGGGTACTCAGCCTTCTTTATGGTCCAACTCTCACATCCATACATGACTACTGGAAAAACCATAGCTTTGACTAGACAGACTTTTGTTGGCAAAGTAATATCTCTGCTTTTTAATATGCTGTCTAGGTTTGTCATAGCTTTCCTTCCAAGGAGCAAGTGTCTTTTTTTTTTTTTTTTTTTTCATGGCTACAGTCATGGTCCGCAGTGATTTTGGAGCCCAAGACAATAAAATCCGTCACTGCTTCCACTTTTCCCCCTTCTATTTGCCGTGAAGTGATGGAACTAGATGCCATGATCTTAGTTTTTTTAATGTTTGAGTTTTAAGCCAGCTTTTTCACTCTCCTCTTTCACCCTCATCAAGAGGCTCTTTAGTTCCTCTTCACTTTCTGCCTAAGGTATCATCTGCATATCTGAGGCTGTTGATATTTCTCCTGGCAATCTCGATTTTGGCTTGTGATTCATCCAGCCCAGCATTTCACATGATGTACTCTGCACAGAAGTTAAATAAGCAGGGTGACAATATACAGCCTTATGGTACTTCTTTCCCAATTTGTAACCTTGTCCCATTCTAACTGTTGCTTCTTGACCCACCTACAGATTTCTCAGGAGACAGGTAAGGTGGTCTGGTATTCCCACACTTCAAGAATCTTCCAGTTTGTTGTGCACAGTCAAAGGCTTTAATGTAATCAATAAAGCAAAAGTTTTACTTTGTAATTCTCTTTCTTTTTCTATGATCCAATGGATGTTGGCAATTTGATTTCTGGTTCCTCTGCCTTTTCTAAATCCAGTTTGTATATCTGGAAGTTCTTGGTTCACATACTGCTCAAGTTCATGGACCTATGCAATATTGTTCTTTATGGCATCAGACCTTACTTTCACCACCAGACACATCTACAGATGAGCGTCATTTCTGCTTTGCCCCAGCCACAGCATTCTTTCAGGAGCTATTAGTAACTGCCCTCTGCTCTTCCCCAGTAACATACTGTACACATTCCAACCTGGCGGGGGCGCATCTTCTGCTGTCGTATCTTTTTGCCTTTTCGCACCGTTATGGGGTTCTTGCAGCAAGAATGCTACCATGGCTTGCCATTCCCTCCTCCAGCGGACCACGTTTTGTCAGAACTCTTCACGATGACCCGTTTGTCTTGGGTGGCCATGCGTGGCATGGCTCATAGCTTCACCAAGTAATGCAAGCCCCTTTGCCAGGAGAAGTTTGCGATCCATGAAGGGGCCAGTCAATACCTTCCTGAAACAAATATTTACAACAGCTTTGCGGCCAGGCAGGTGTCCTGGAGGGAAGGGTGCAGTCTCCATCATGGGGTGGCCTCCACTTCACACTCAGGCAATCAGTCAGCAGCTATCCATGAGCCCCTACTAGTGTCAGTGAGATGTGGAAGATGTTAGTAGCAACTGAATGCTCAGGCGGGCCATGGCCTGGGTGAGGATCGTGGAGGCTACACAGCTTGGCGGAGAAGGCAGCTGCTCTCCAGTCAGATAGCTGGGGCCACGCCCTGGTCTTTCACTTCTGATTCTGAACAAGTTGCTTCACCTCCTTGAGCCTCGGTTTCCCCATTTGTAAAATGAGAATGATTACCATAAGTAGAATCTTTTCAAGAAGTTGCCATGAGGATTAGCAACTTAATACAGTACTGGACTTAGGACAGTAGTGTTTTTTATTAATAAATAAATAAACTGAAGGTGGGACTTCCCTGGTGCTTCAGTGGTTAAGAATCTGCCCGCCAGTGCAGGGGCCATGGGTTCGATCTCTGGTCCAGGAAGGTCCCACATTAAGCCCGTGCCACAGCCATCGAGCCTGTGCTCGGAGCTCCAGCTCTGCAACGAAAGAAGCCACTGTGACCAGAAGCCGGAGCACGGCGACAGAGTGGCTGTGCTCACTGCAGCTCGAGAAAGCCGACTCACAGCAACAAAGACCCATTGCAGCCAAAAATTAAAATTAAAAAAATAAAAATGATTAAAACAAGAAACCTGGGGAATGTGTGATGGGAGAGAAGGCCTCAGCACCCCAGGCCCTGGATTTGAATTCTCAGGACGCCCACCCCACCGGGGTCCTGAAGGTGAGGCCATACCACCTCAGCCTGCTGGCACTGGGCAGCCTAGCGTCCACAGCCTCTCCAGTAACTTTCCAGATGGGCTGAGGCTCAAGGCCTGATCTCCCTGATAAGATAACATAACTATCTCTTTTACAGGAATGTGGTTTATCAAAAAGGTGCTCTTGGCTCCAGCTCACCCAAGGCAGACAGCCAGCCCTACTGGCGGGGTTCGGGGGTGGGGCGGGGAAGGCGGCCTCTGACTCCAGTCCTAAGCCAGGATCCCTCCGACTCCGCCAGCAAGATCATTGGCCACGGACGCACTGTGATTGCTCCTGACTTCTCACCAGTTTGCTTTTGACCTTAAAGACAGTTTTTAGAGAGCCTGGCAGGGGGCTTGGTGTGGAACAGATGTCCAGAGTCACACTGACACATTCTGAAGTCAACCGAGGCCAAGTAGCTGTCACCAGGACCAAAATCATGGCACACTGGGGCTGGCAGGGACGCACAGACCAGTGCATCCTGGTTTCCCATTCTACACATGGGGACACAAAGGCCTGGGGAGAGAAAGAGAGGTAAAACTAACACAGGAGACAGAATCCGGGTCTCCAAACACTCACCCTTTCCCCTCCTCGCCCGCAGTCAGACTGCTCAGCCAGCAGCACCACTGTCCCCAGGGCAACGCATGGGGCATATCCACCCCTTCATCCAAGTTCCAAGTAGTCAATGATCGGAGGGCTTGCCTGGTGGTCCAAGTGGTTGGGCTCCAAGTTCCCAGCTCGGGGGGCCCAAGTCCAACTCCCCGCCAGGGAATTAGATCCCACATTCTGCAACCAAGAGCCGGAGCAGCCAAATAAATAAATATTGAAAACAAAACCAAAGCAGAGTAGCCACTGCTGATGGCCTCGGTCTAGGGTCTTGGGAGGGCCTTAGCCTGGAGATCAAGGGCCAGGATACCCACAAGCCTCCAAACTCATCTAGGGCCTGTCACCTGAAGTGGGGTCTGCAGAACCGCCTTGTTAGAAAGGCTGAATCCCACACCTGCCCAGAGCTCCTGATTCAAGCTTCATCTTAACAAGATCCCCAGCAGGTTCATGTGTTGCGATCTGAGAAGTACTAGCTTAGAGCAAGCCACTTTCCCTGCCACCAGCCTCAGTTTCTCTAACAGGAATGAAAGGGGCAAAAGATTTCTGACACCTCTTGCCATCACTAACACCCTGGGAGCTCGGCCTTGGGCGTGACCCACTGCGGGACTCTGTGTTCCGTGGGGGATTCTGGGCAGTGGGCTTCCAGCTCCAGCAAGGCTGGGGAGCAGTCGACACCTCTGCTTGGCCCTTCTCCTCTTGGCCAGAGACCCGGGCCTGGGGCAGCTTCACAGGTCCTGAAATGCAGTTACTTCAGTTCAACCCACTTCACCAACATTGATTAAGTGCCTCCTGTATACTGGGGTCAGTAGTAGTGGATCTCTCTCTGCCCTGTACATTAGAATCAGCTGTGGCGCTTGTACTTTTATTATTTTGGTTTTTGCTTATTTTACTTTTTTTTTTTTTTGCCTCACTGTACGGCATGTGGGATCTTAGTTCCCTGACCAGGGATCAAACCTGTGTCTCCTGCAGTGGAAGCACAAGTCTTAACCACTAGACAGCCAGGGAAGTCCCTGGGGGTGCTTTTAAACAAGGCTGATGCTGGGCTCCACCCCAGGCCACTGGAATCAAGGTCTCTGGGGGGAGGTCTGGCTACAGGTATTCATTAACACGACTCAGGCAGTGATAATGCACAGCTGGTTGATCGCAACTGATCAGAAGTAAGAGAGAAGGCTCCTCCACATCCAACCTCGGCCATCTCCCGAGTCCCCGCTTCCTCCGGGCCAGCCAGCTGTGGCAGGCCTGTTGCAAACCAGCAGTCATCAGGAAATTCCCTGGATATTGTAACTCGTGACTGCAATCTCTAATTAATCATCAACGCTGTAATATGATCCTGGCCCCATGACAAGGGGACCTGCTGAATATCTTTGGGAAACCTGTCCACTGGCCTTCTTCAGACCCAGGAACCCATGCCTGAGGAGCCCAGGCGGATGGGGGCCCAGATCTGCTCTCCGGCTGGTAAGTGTGAGCCCTGAGCTTTCTGCCTGGACCAGAAATACAAGAAGCAGAGGGGTGCTCTGTGTTTTCTGGGGTGGAAGACTCAGGAGATAGAGGTATAGTCAGTGTAAATATTGCTCAGGAGTTTCTGATCCAGGCCGGGCTGCCCTAGGCAGTGAGCTGTTATGAGCCCAGGAGGTAGTGAAAGCTTCCTTTCTCAGCGAGAATCCAATAGAGGCCGAGGAACTCGGGCCACAATCCCTGCAGTGATGCAAAGACCCTTATGACCCGTTTGCCTTTCAGATCCTGTTGTGCAGAGAGAAGACTGGCTGGGATGGGAAAGAGGGTAGAGCTTAGGGGGCAGGGTGGAAGACCGGGGTCCCAGCTCTGCCCTCACAGAGCTGTGGGGACCTTTCCTGTCACTTCTCCCGGAGCCTCAGCTTCCTCGTCTGCAGGCTGGGAGCCAATGCCCCCATCCTGCCAGTTACAGAGCTGCCAGAAGCAGAAACCACAGGGTCACCAGGCTCAATGATTCTCTGCCGGTCTCACCTGAGGTCACAACTTTGCCTTAGTGTCCGGGGCGGGGGTTGGAAAGCTGGGTCTCTTATGACTAGAGATCTGGACCACGCATCCCTGCTCCCAGAGCCTGGACTCTGCTCCTTCCCAAGCAGAAGGACCTGGAGCCCTTGACTCCGCAGTAACCATAGTAACCTAGGGTTCCCGGGCACCAGCAGCAGGGGCATCTGAATCAAGGGGCGGGGGCGGGGCCAAGGATGGGGGCTCAGGATGCTGCCTGAAAGTGGGGCTGATGAGAACAGCCACCTGCAGGCATAAAGTGCTCAGAACTCCCTGCCCAACTGACTGGGGACACGCCTACTTGGAGAGCCACGCTTGGCCAGTACCCACCTCTGCCTCACCCCAACCCAGGAGCAGGCTGGACTGGGTCACTTGGGTCAAAGAATGGGAGGAGCCCTGCCAGCCAGCCTTGGAGAAGGGGGTACTACCCAGAGCCAGCCCCAAACTCAGGCACAGAGCCCCGTGCAACGCAGAGGAAGGGGCCGCGTGGGCAGAGGCAGTTCTGCCGGACGGGCGGCACATGGGCGGCTGTCATTGCCGCTGAGCCTTGGCCTTTCGCAGTGAGCAACTAACACAGCCACTCAGGACCTCACATGTGGAAAGGCTGACCCCCAAGGAGCCCTGTGTGCCTTGCGAGGGCCACACTCAGGCCACTGCTGGGGGCTGCTGAGACAGTGAGTGGAGCCCGGGCGGCAGCTGGCAGAAGCAGCACAGTCCACTGGGCCCCGGCGTCCTGTGACCTCTCTCGGCCTCCCTCCTCTAACTGCTGATGTGAGGACATAGCGCCCACAGGCCGGTGGGAAACTCCCGAGACAGGGGTAAGCTTTGCAGACTGTCAAACCCCTGTGGAGGACTAAGTCTGCTTCTCCTAGGGCCCCCAGGGCCCGCCTGCCCTTCTGAGGGACTCACGCACCCAGCAGTCCCATCAGCCGCTTCTTTGGCTCCTGCCCCACTGCTCCCGCAGCCAGTGGGGGTCGGGGGGGCTCGCTGTGGCCTTGACGGTCTGCCTCGCACCTGACCACGCCCAGCCTCCCCTGCCGGCGCCTGGCTGACACCTTGCAGGCATCTGAGTGTCAAGAGGAGGGCAGGGATTGAACGTGTGCCCCCTGCATTGACTGGAAGCGTGGAGTCTGAACCACTGGACCAGCAGGGAAGTTCCCTGGCTCAAGTTTTGATTGAATTCTCCTTATATTTTCAGCCTTCCTCCTCCAATCCAGAAAAAGCAGGGTCAGGAGGGGAGGGGGAGAGAGCTAAGGCCTGGGGAGCTGGCTAAGTGCCCGTCTTGGGGCCGGAAGCTCCACCAGCTTCCTTCAGGCCTCTGGGGCTGAGAGGAAGGGCTGCCCAGCAAGGAACTTTCCCGAACCAGCTGCCAAGTGGAGGCAAGTCAGGAAGTCCCTTGCTTTCAAAGCTTACCCAGGCCTACGGCCCGGCCCACAGTTCTGAGGGGCTGACCTGGGACCCCTTTTCCGGTTTCACACCCTCACTACTTTGGGAGTTACCGGGCTCCTTCTTTCTCTCCCAGGACGAGAGAAGTCACCCTCACTGGGGTCAGCGATGCCGGTTCTCTGTGGCAAAGTCAGAAAGTCACATAAGCAGATGGGAAAACTCAGCCGCAGCCCCCACCCCCCGCCACTGCAGAATTAGAGCTGGCCACAAACAGCCTGCCAGCCCATCTCTCAGCCTGTTTCTAGATACAGACGGGCTACACATGTGTAAACATGCGAATAATACACATATAAACATATGTGTCAAACACAAGCAGGATCATCTGCTGACTGTTCTAAAACCTGTCTCTTTAGTTAATGGCAATAGCAGCCATCACCAGGTATCCAGAGCTGGTACTGTCAACAGTGCCTCTAATTTTTACAACATCCCTAAGGGAGGGAGGGGTTCCCTGGTGGCTCAAGTGGTAAAGAATCTGCCTGCAATTCAGGAGACCAGGAATGGATCCCTGGGCTGGGAAGATCCCCTGGAGGAAGGCATGGCAACCCAACTCCAGTATTCTTGCCTGAAGAATCCCATGGAGAGAGGAGCCCGGCGGGCCGCAGTCCATAGATCTCAAAGAGAAGGACAGGACTCCGTGACCAAGCTGCAGTGCGGGAGGGAAACTGAGGCTTGGCAAGAGCCAGGAGAGAACTAAGACCCCAGACAGGCAGAGCGGGCCCCCCACTGGCTCTAAGAAGGTCTCTGGAGTGGGGATGCGGGAGAGCCGGGACAGTGGCCCCAGGGAGCATGGGTTGATGGAAATGCCCCTTTCCCCTGGTGGGGAGGGCTCCAGGCTGCCCGGAAGGCCAGCCGGTGTGTCCGGCCGACCGGCATGACACCCCCGCCCCCGCCGCAGATGCCGAGGCTCCCCGAGAGGCGCTCCGCTTCCACGCCCAGGCGGTGGGCGCACAGGTGCGCCTGGATGCTGAGCGGAGCACCGCGGTCAGGCGCGCCACGTTCCACGACGGCGTCGTGTTCAGCCAGCGGCCGGTGCGGCCGGGAGAGCGCGTGGCGCTGCGCTTGCTGTGGCACGAGCCCGGCTGGCTGGGCGGCCTCCGCGTGGGCTTCACGCGCCTGGACCCCGCCCGGGTGCCCGCCGCCAGCCTGCCGCCCTTCGTGTGCCCGGACCTGGAGCAGCGGAGTCAGACCTGGGCGGCCATGCTTCCCGACGGCTGCGCCCTCCCGGGGGACGTGGTGCGCTTCTGGGTGAGCCGCCAGGGCCAGATCCTCGCCCGGGTCAACTCGGGGCCCCGGCGGCTGCTGCGCGAGGGCGTGCTCCTGGGCGCCCCGCTCTGGGCCGTGATGGACGTGTACGGGACCACCAAGGCCATCCAGCTGCTGGGTGAGGCCAGGGGCGGGGACCCAGGCGCCGTCCCTGGGGGCGGGGGCGGGGGCGGGGGGGGCGGCGGCTCCAGTGGCGCCTGCCCGCGCACAGGTCGGGGAGGACTGCTGTTTCTTTCATACGGAGTTTTCCTATCGGCTTCTCTCCGGGTATGAAGATGTTCGCTGGGGACCAGACCCAGTCACAGGGAGGGCAGCCCTGTTTTGAAGAATGAGAAGGCATGCCCAGCACCCCAAACATATGTTAGAGCAGCGGTCCCTAGCCTTTTTGGCACCAGGGACCAGTTTCGTGGCAGACAGCTTTTCCACAGAAGGAGGGGTGAGGGAAATGGTTTCAGGATGATTCAAGCACATTACATTTCTTGTGCACTTTATTTCTATTATTATTCCATCAGCTCCACCTCAGATCATCAGGCATCAGATCCCGGAGGTTGGGGACCCCTATGTTAGAGGACTGGTCTCATTTACAAAAAAAAAATATTTGGGGCAGGCTGGGTTTTGCAGTCACAGTAGGAGTTTGCTGCAGACAGGGGTGGCAACAAAGGGAACATAAGTGTGCAAGTTAGAGGTAGGCAAGAAGGCAGCCTGGTGGGGTCAAAGGTGAGATGTTCAGGCACTCAGTGGGGCAATGAGGACCACCTGAAAGGAGAGTGGATTTCAGAGGAGTGAGGAGATACAGGAAGACTCATGAAAAGAAGTGTTGGCATACCTGGGCAGTCTTCCAGGGACCTGCACGAGCATTCCAGTCCCCCCAGTGTGTTTGTTTTTCGGATGGCTTGTCACAACTGCTCGGGCCTCACCCCCAGAGGGGCCCAGGCACCTGTTTTCCCACCTCCTGGGGGACTCTGTTGCACATCCGTTGGGGAGCGGTGACCGGACGCTGAAGATCTCTGCTCAGGCAGTGGCAGTAGGGCAGAGAGGAGCTGTCTGAAGGAAGCGTGGATTAGGATGAAAAAGCTGCAGGTCCACACATTCTCTGCTGGGTTCCACTGGGAAAGGGGTGGCCAGGACAGGGCTGGACCCCCGGCTTGGAGCTGCAGCACTGCGATCCAGAGAAGAAAGGAGGTGGACACTCTGCTTTGGAGGCAGGGACTGGGGAGGTGGGTTGAATGGAAACACCCTGATTGCTTTCCCCTGGTCCTGACTTTCCCTTTCTGCCTTAGATCTTACAGCCAATGACTTTCCCACAACCATGCCAAAGGACCTCAGTGATGAGGCTCTGCCCGGGCCCAAAGGTGAGTGGCTTTCCCGAGCACCAGGGACTCCCCAGGCCTCCAGAGCTGGAGAAGCCGGGCAAGGCCCCAGCCCTGGGAACTCAGTTACGCCTTCCCAGGTGCCATCAAGTCTCCCACAGGCCGCAGGCCAAAACCTAAAAGCCACGTGACAGTTCTGCCTTCTAGGACATTGGCTGGCTTCATAAGTTACTGGGCACACTCATGAATAGATGTTATTTTGTCCACCTGCTTTTAAAAGAGCAATCCCTGTTCATAGTAAAAAAATGAAAAAAACAAAAACAAAAAACTTTGCCAAGCAGAAATAAAATATATATTCAAAGATAAAAAAGGAAGTGAAAAAAAAAAAGCACACCTCCCAAACTTCACATTGCCTGTTAGGTAGATTTCCTCCCGGTATTTTGTAATCATATATATATATACATATATATGGGCCCTCTCGCGGCCCCAAGCGCCCTGACCTGTGTTGTCGCCTTTCCCAGCCTCAGCAGGAGAAGAATGTGCCATCTGCTTCCACCAGGTCGCCAACACCTGCCTTGTCCCCTGCGGCCACACACACTTCTGCAGCTTCTGTGCCTGGAGGGTCTTCAGGGACACGGCCAGATGCCCCGTGTGTCGCTGGGAGATCGAGGAGGTGGCCCCGGCTGGGGATCCTCTTGTCCTGGGTGCTGGAGAGGGCCTCCTGGTATAGGTGCAGAGCTCTGAGCCCGGCCCTTGCCGAGGGAGGAGGTGCAGCTCTGCCGTCTTTCTGGAGAAGAGTCGGAAATGCTGGTCAGCAGCAGGTGTGGCAGAGAGACGGCTCAAGGTCACAATGGCTCCACCCCTCCTCAGCAGGTTGGGGCCAGAGGAGCCAGGAGACGCCCCTTTCTGTCCACACCAGAACTACCTCCCCGGCTGGAGAAGGTGGCTAGCGATGGGCCAGCCAGGGTCTCGCCCCTCTGCCTAGTCCCAGGTTCATTGCTGCGTGCCAAGGCTTTTAACTAGCCATGGGATTCAGCCACCATGGACCTAGCAACCCCCGGTACAGCAAGTCCCAGGAGTTCCAAGAACCCACCTGTGTCAGCGAGAAGGGCCTTTGTGTAGAGAGGGGGGCGGCCTGACCCCTGGTTTTATGACTGAGGAAGCCAAGGTATATGCGCATCTCTGGTGAAGCCCTGCCCACCCAGGGTATTGAGGAGCCTGGACCAGATGCAGGAAGCAGCTGGGTGGAATTTTTTTTTTTTTTTATTGAAGTGTAGTTGATGTACAATATTGTATAGGTTACAGATGTACTGTTAGTAATAATTTTTAAAGGTTATACTCCATTTGCCAATATATTGGCTATATTCCCCTGTTGCACAATGTATCCTTGTAGTTTATTTTATATCTAGTAGTTTGCACCTCTCAATCCCCTACCCCTAAATTGCCTCTCCCCTGTTCTCTCTCCCCAATAGTAACCCCACATTTTGGTGTGCTCATGAGGGGAGGGGAGCTCAGGGCCTTTCTACTCCATTGTCTTGGCCTCTGTCTACCCGGTAGGTAGACAGACTGTCTTCCCCACAGTCTGTAGGGAAGCCAGGTCACTTCTACAAATCCTCTCTAGGACTTCCCTGGTCGTCAAGTGGTTAAGAATCTGCCTGTCAATGCAGGGGACACCAGTTTGATCCCTGGTCTGGGAACTAAGATCCCACATGCCGTGGGACCACTAAGCCTTTGGATTGCGACTACTGAGCCTGCACGTCCTAGAACCCATGAGCCACAACTGCTGAAGCCCGTGCGCCCTAGAGCCTGTGCTCCACCCAAGAGAAGCTACCGCAACAAGAAGCCTCTGCACTGCAACTAGAGAGTAGCCCCAACTCATGGCAAATAGAGAAAGCCCGCTCGCGGCAACCAAGAGCCTGTGCGCTGCAACAAAAACCCAGTGCGGCCATAAATAAATAAGTAAACAGATAAATAGAAATTAATTAATTAAAAACAAGTCCTCTGTAAAGGGGATCAGCAGTCAGCTGCCCACCTTCCTTGCCCGGCAGTTCATGAGACCCCAAGCACGTTTGTGCATCTGAAATCGAGTCGACCCCTCAGAGCGCACTGTTGTCATTGTGCTTATTGCCTTGCAATTTCTGAGATATCAAAATAAAGTTTGTCTCTCATGAGTGAGTTTGTAAAGTGAATGTCCCCTTTGTTGCAGTCAGCAGGAGTGAGCAGGGTGGGAGCTGGTCGGGATGCAGGGGCGTGGGGCCATGCCTTCCCGTCCCTCGCAGTCACACCCTGAGCTTGCAGTGAGAGGGGCCTGGCGCTCAGGCCTGAGGAGCTGTTTTGCTGAGCAGGTGAACAGGATGAGTCTACAGATTCAGCCTTAAAGTTACAACAAGGCTCTGCCCTTGCCATCTTTGACTTGTGAGGACTTTCTGGAGTCTCTGCTCCTGCGTGAAGCAGTGACTTGACCTGGGGACCCCAATCATCAGGTGTCTGTGGTGGGGACAGGCAGGGACGACAAGCCGTACCTGTTACATTGCTGGTGTTCCTGCTCCGTGGCTGGTGTGAAAGAGCACTAAAAGGGAGCTGGAGCTGTGTGACGTCCCCAGTCACGGTGACGGGTGCCTCCCCACGCTGCGGCCAGCCAGAGGGGCAGGGCTTTGGGTGGAAAGTGAAATGTTAGCCGCTCAGCCGTGTGCAACTCTCTGTGACCCCATGGACTATAGCCCACCAGGCTCCTCTGTCCGTGGGATTCTCCAGGCAAGAACACTGGAGTGGGTTTCCATCCCCTTCTCCGGGGGATCTTCCTGACCCGGGTCTCCCTAGTTGCAGGCAGGTTCTTTACCGTCTGAGCCACAAGGAAAGCTCGGGTGTGGTGACCCCCGGAAGAGCTTCCATTGTGGAGTAGGATCCCCTCTCTGCTGCCCAGGAGTTGTTCTGACCTTGGTCATGGGACTTGGACATCTGGGAGCCTCAGTTTCTTCATAACTTGGAAATAGGATCATTTTGTTTGCTGATATGTTGTTAGGATAACGGGTATAAATGAAACTCGTGGCTTAGAGGAAGCACTCAGAATATGGAACTCTCTTTCTCTGGAAAGGCGTCTCCCAGGGAAGCAGCCAGAGGAGGACTGGCCGTCAGGGTACTGGGTATGAATCTGGACGGCTCACTGACTTAGCCAAGGCCCCCGTGTCGCCCCAGTTCTACACTTCTCATACTTCTTACAGTGTGAGACCACTAAACTTTGGGCATATCTCTGAGACATAAGGGAGCAACCAGGAGACACCTCACCCCCTGAATCCTTGTTCTGTGTAAATCCTTTGATCTAGTTATTTTTAAGCAAAAGTAAACATTTCCTTAGGCTAGGTCAAAGTCGTTATTTTTGTTCATCATAAAAGACAGATTTGGCTTCTTCTACTCAGGTGTAGCTATATTAGTATCAGATAAACTAGAATTTAAGGGGAAAAAAAAGATTAAAGGGGATAAAGAGAATTCAACTAGAGATTATTGTACTAAGTGAAGTAAGTCAGAAAGACAAATGCCATATAATATCACTTATGTGTGGAACCTAAACTATGACATAAGTGAACCTATCTTTGAAACAGAAACAGCTGTAAGGAGCAGACCAGTGTTTGCTGAGGGGGTGGGGGAGGGGTGGAGCAGGAGGCTGGGGTTGGCAGATGTGAGCTTTTATATGTAGATGGATAAACAATAAGGTCATATGTATAGCACAGAGAGCTATGTTCAATATCCTATGGTAAACCACAATGGAAAGGAATATTTCGTTCTAGAGCAGGATCAGATTCTTAAAAGAGACTGTGTGTATATATATATACACATATATGTATAATTGAATCATTTTGTTGTACAGCAGTATTTAAAAACATTGTAAAAAAACCATTGTAAATTCAACTAATATTTCAATTTAAAAAATTTAAAACATGATTGAAAAAGAATTATTCATAATAACACCAAAGTGGAAACAATCCAAATGTCCATCAGCTAATGAATGAACAGCTGATGTGGTCTGTCCATACAATGAGATGCTTTTTGACAACAAAAAAAAGGAATGAAGTGCTGATTCATGCTTCAATATGGATGAGGCCTGAAAACATGCTAAGGGTGGGAAGCCAGTCACAAACGGCCACATATTGCATGATTTTATTCATGTGAAATGTCTGGAATAGGCAAATCCATAGAGACAGAAAATAGATTAGTATAGGGGCTGGAGAGAGGAAGAATGGGGAGTGACAACTAAGGGGTATGGGGTTTCTTTAGGGTTCTAAAATTGATTTTGCTAATGGTTGCACAACTTTGTGAAGATACTAAAACCACTGGACTGCACACTAAAGAGATGGATATATGAGTCGCATCTAATTTTTAAATTATACAAAAAAAACAAAAACCCACCAAAAAACCCACACCAAAATAGATGAATGAAGATGTGCTAGTAGAAGAAAAGGAAGGGAATATTAGCCCTGGGAGGAAAAGCTTCAAACAGGAAGTGACTTTTAAACTGTTTTTACAGGTCTAAGCTTGAAAGCAGAGAGGAGGGAAAGAGGTGCTCCACACAGTGGGCTCTGCATATACAAGTGCAGGCCGTGTCCAGGGGATCCTGGGATGGTCACACTGGCCACAGCGAAGGGCAGGGAGCCACAGAGGAGCCCAGAGGAAGGTGGGCTGGAGCCGGCAGCGGAGCACTCTGCCGGCTGTTGAGTGGCTGCAGCGGCCCTGGAGGTCCAGGCTGGCTGCAGGAAGGTTGATGTGTCAGCCGGCCCCTCTCACCTCAGTCAAACACATTCTGCCTGCGAGGCACCTGAGAAGCAGGCCCCAAGTTTCCCTTTCCTAGAAGTCCAGGGTTTGTAGGTAGTGGTGATGAGTCACTGGATCAAAGAAGAGGGAATGGGCAATAGGCCATCATCAGGAGGGCTGTACAGAGGGAAAGGAAAATAAAAGCACAACCAAGGATGACCAGTCCTGCTGTGCTGAAGCAGGAAACCCGCCTGGGCCAGACTCCCTGGGGGCTTTCCCAGGGACAGAGAAAAATTCCCTGGCTCATGTGCTTTCAGGTGGTTTCCGGTTAGACCACGTAAGGTGTGAGGTGGCAGTCTGGGTAATAACAAGCCCTCCCTCCGGGGACCGGGACCACCATGTCCCCTGTCCGCCCCCAGCCCCTCATACGGCCCCAGCATGCCGTCTTCAGTGCTAGCTGCAACCCCCCACCCCAGCATTGTTGCCTAAGTAATACCTGTCTTCCCCGCTCCACACACACAAGCAGAGGCCTCCTGGCTGCTGGCAATCTGCTCGGGAAATTCCACTTGGAAGAAGCCCATGAGCAAAGGCAGGGAAGCAGTGGGGGAGAGTCCCTGAGCTCGTGACTGAGCGAGGAGAACGAGCTGCCCTCCCGCTCCTCCGCGACCAGCACACACACCTGTGTCCTGTCTTCCAGCTGCCCTGCGTCCCCTCCCCTTTGTCTGAAGGAGGAGAAGATAGGGGTCGCCTCATGAGCCTGGAGGTGGTGACTCTGACCCTCTGGGTCAGCCTGCCTGTCCCTCTCAGGTCTGCATGAAGTAAGTAAGCCATGACAAATGGTCATGTCCCCATTTTACAGCTAGAAAAACTGAGGCCCAGAGACTGTCTCAGACCTGCCCAAGGCCACTCAGCAGTTCATGGTGTGGTCAGGACTAGATCACAAACCCCTGGATCCCAGCCAAGGGACTCCTCTGCCTCAAGCTT